AAGGAGAAGACATGGAGTGACTTTTCACTTCTTCAACCGTATACATTATATTATAATTAATAAAAATCAATGTAGTAACTTATAGACAATGAATTAATATGGTTGTTAAAATTTTTTAATGAAACCTCATAAATAGGATAGGTTATAGTTAGTTTTTAAACTAAAAATAAGAAGAAAAAAATAGAGAAAATGTCTAAAAAAAAGAGAGAAAAAAGATAAATAACAATGATGACCTTAGAAATGTGTCACATTACCTTGTCTATATTTGACTTTATATTATGTATAGATTTTGTTTTATTTGTAAAAAAAAATTGAACAGATCTAAAAGAAAAGGAAAAATGTCAAAATTACCCTCTAACTATTCAAAATAGCTCATTATAACCTTTATTTATGTTTGAGATCAAAACTACTATTGTTGTCTATGTTTTGGACCACAAATACCCTTGAAACGTTACTTTGCCATATGTGCTAACATGATAGTCCACCTATGCAGTCCAACATGGCAAAAATTCCCTCCTCTCAATTATGTTGTTCTTCCTTGTCCATCTCTATTACAATACTTTTTTAAATAAAAAATAGTTCTTTTATTGTTCTTGTTTGAGTTATTGTTCGGACTTTAAAATTTCAATTCGAAGTGCGTTAAAGTTCGTTTGAGATAGTAGTTGTGTGTTGAATGATCGAATTCATTGTTTGACTTTTGATATCATCGAATCTGAGGCTGAAAATTTAATTCTCAAGGTTGAAAAATGTTGAACTCTTGAAGTCATTCTTTTTGTGTTAAAACTCAAAAATTGCTACTCATTTGAAAGCTTGTTGGTGAGAAATTTCTAGTTTTTGTTGAGTTTTTGAAGTGCAAAAAATTGAAGAGATTTAATTGAATGTTACTAAAAAATTGTTTTGATATTGCAATTGAAGCTGATAATTGACATTTAACAACCGATTTCTTAGTTTGAAGATTGATATTTGAAGATTTGAGTTGAAATCTCAAAAAAAGATTTTTAAAAAAATATGAAAAAGTTCTTAAAAGCTGGAAAATCTAAAAATCGATTTTGTGACCCCAAAACCCAAACAATGAACTCAATCCTTCAACACGCAATCACAATCTCAAACAAACTTCAGCTCACTTTGAAATTGGAGTTCCAAAGTCCGAACAACAACTCAAACAAGAACAATGAAAGAATTATGTTTAATTTTCTTTTTGTGACAGACAGTGGCGGACCCAGGATTTTCACGAAGTGGGTTCAAGATATAAAAATATACCTAATATTATTTGTAATTACATATCTGACTATACTAAACAATGTTAATACAATTGAAAAAAAATTTACATTGACTTATGAATGAGACGGTAAATAACAAAATGGACGAAAAATTAGGCTTCAATATAAACTAAGAAAATAAAAGAATATTATGAATGATTTCTCTTCATTCAACATTTAACAAATAAAAACAAAATATTAAACAAAATAATTATAACCTTAATTTCAGAATCGAATACATAGAAATATACCTAATATTATTTGAATTTTTTTGTTGATTTTAGAATGATAAGGGATTTTTTAGTTGAAGAAATAAAAAATAACCACAATAATCATATTATGTATATATAAAGACTAGAATCAAGAGCGAAAAACATTCAACAAAGAAGAAGACAAAAGGGTTTTTAAAATTGAGAATAATAGGGATTGGTGCTTTTTCGGTTGAGTTTTTTTTAAAAAAAAAAAATTAAAAACAAAAAGGACAAAATTTGTTGACAT